GAGAACATGATACAGGTCTCAAAAAATCACTAGCATTTACCAACGGCCAGAAACAGCTTGGAGGAGAGCGAATGGGGGATGTGGCACAGGACAGACGGGCCTTGCTTGTTTGGCCGCACCGTGGGGAATGTGTAGCCGACTGCGTAACAGGAAAGGAGGCTGAAAGATGGAATCCAGGTTCCAGTGCGTTTCCCAGCCATCGCCCGTGGTTTGGGGCAGAACAGGCACCTGTAACGTGGAAGGTGTGGTCGGAGCTGGCTTTTTTTGTTGGTCGTCGTGGTGGCTGCAACTAATTGACCCTTGGTTGCCAGGCTGGGTGGCATAGAAGATTGTGTCGGAAGTCCAGCAGCCATTAGGGGTAGGTTGCAGCGTCACTTTGTGATCAAAGAGGTATTTTAGGAAGCAGAGCCTCCCTGGAAGGTCTGTCCCGGTTCGGGAGGGCGCGGAAGGGAAGTAGAAGCTGGAATGAGGGCTGAGTTCTGCTGTGTGGCTCTTAACCCAGAGCACAAAGGCCCCTCCTGGGCCAGCAGTGGCCCAGTCTGGAAGGCTGTTGTGACAGCATTAGCTCCTGGGATTCCTTAGGTCAAAAGACACGGCAGACCAGTTAGGATTTAAACATCTCTTGTGATCCTTAAAAAAATGTGTTCAGCCCGTCTATCACTCTGTCTAAAGAGAACAACTGCGTATTGCCAGGCTGCGCCGGGACGGTCAATGGCTGTTTTGTTCTGCCGGTTGACAGCTGTTAATCTTTGTCTCTCTGGCTTTGACCGTACACATTCCAGTCTTCCCAGAATGTAAGAAAAAGTGTTTCAAATCGAAACAGATTTGGGAGCATGGAGGGGAATCAGGGAGGAAGATGGTAGGTACACCACCTGCGTTAGCAACACCGCGTTAGCAACACGTCTCCGCGTTTTCTAATAAATTTTGGAAAGGTTGGGTGAGGAGTGTTCTTTTTCTCTCCTGCGTTGCGGGCAGGAAACTTTTAATGTGTATTCGTGGACATTATCAGTAAAATTGTACGAGAACAGACTTTATTGTTGGGGTTTAACTTTTTTTCTCTAGCGTATTTTCAGCGGTAGTAGACACCTTTTTTTTTTTTTTAAAGGTCACATCTCTTGTGTGGCGTTAAAAGGGTGTGTGGAAGGTTTTTCTTGTGTGTGTCCTTGCATCATTGGGGAAATTTGTAGAAAGCAGTTCGTGTCATGGAAGTGGACTTAATTCAAAGAAACCTTTAACCTTTACCGCAAGCAGGTTTATAATGGGAACACGTGGAAATTCACAGCATTTTTGTATTTGAAAAGATTATATACGTGGTGCCAAAAAATAATGGGAAGAGCATTCCCAGTGGACTTCTGGAGGAGGTCTGTCTCCTGACTCGAAAGAAGTGTCCGGGGATACTCTAGGAAGTCCAATGACATACATCTAGACAGTCTCAATTTTTCTTTCTGTTGGAGGTTTGCCACAGTGTGGGTGCTGATTATTTCTTTATTCTTTATAAAGCTTCAAGTTGCTCAGAAACGTGTATTTCGTAGTGATTTTTTTTTTTTAAAGGGAAATCAGGAAGTGTACTTCAGATGAAAATAATGAGATGAGACCCTTGGTTTTCTTCAGACCTCCTTCTCTGTCTAAAATATTAAGTTCTCTGTTGTTTTTTTTGAATTTGTTATTTATTTAATGGTACCTCAGACGCTGATGTCAGGTAGAATCAATGTGAATTGGCTTTTTCTTACAGAAAAAGGTAGGGACGACGATGTCACGGTCAAAGGCCCTGTCGACACGGTGCCATGTGCTTAGTATGAGGATGCTTCCTTAGTTTCTCTTCCTTATGGTCTGCAGAATAAAATAAAACCCACCCAGTACTGCGATGGAGACTTCTAGACACAGATTGTAATAGTTCACATCAAGGACAAAACTATTCTCGTGGGAAAGAAAGATCCTATAAGCTGGGTGAAGTTACGGATTTGGGGAAGCATGTTGTTTTTGTCTTTCCAAATATATCTGTATCTCACATATTTATGGATATGTTGTATGTGTTGGTATGCATACTGTTTATAATTACTGAGCTTCATCTTCTGCTGTGGGCATTAAGTGTATTATTACAATTAAGACCTTTTGTGTGTTCACTTTAATTGACTTTTTTGTTAGAGAAAGCAGTACATATTCTAGAGGGAAATTGATACAAGCAAAACTAAAATATATCACATTTCCATCCCCCAGAGATCATATGTGAGGTAGGTGTGTATGTGTGGGGGGGTGGGGGTTAAATGTGATCATATTGTATATACTATGTGGTAACCTTCAACTCTTTCGTTTTGGTGAAAATCCCATCTCCTCTAATCCCAAATCATACTCACATTTTCCCAAGAAAAGCCAAAAATGTCCTTTTGTTAGTTTGCCCTAACTAATATCCAATCTAGGACCATGCCCAGCCTGACTTACTGTTATGCTTTTTTAAATTTACTAATTTAGCTCAGTACCCCTCCCTTTTATTAACATCACACTGACTTGTTTTTTAAACATGAGTTTTTAAATTTAAAAACTGTGGACAAATACACACACCCATATACACTTGACCTAATCTACCAGTTACTGATATTTTAGCACATTCTCTCCTCTGCCCCCCACCCCAGCCCTCAGTGTCTCTCCTTAAACTGTTTGAAAGTTACTTGCGGACAGTCTACGGGCGTTTTTGTTTCATTTTTGTCCCTTGTGACATTGATGTATCAGACCAAGCTAGTTGTCTTCTAGAATATCCTTCATTGGGGCGCCTGGGTGGCTCAGTTGGTTAAGCGTCCGACTTCGGCTCAGGTCACGATCTCGCGGTATGTGAGTTCGAGCCCCGCGTCGGGCTCTGTGCTGACTGCTCAGAGCCTGGAGCCTGTTTCAGATTCTGTGCCTCCCTCTCTCTCTGACCCTCCCCCGTTCATGCTCTATCTCTCTCTGTCTCAAAAATAAATAAACGTTAAAAAAAAAAATTAAAAAAAAAAACTTTAAAGAATATCCTTCATTGATTTATCTGATTGTTGCCTTACAGATTCCATTAAACATTTTTAGTAGGAATACTGTAGGTGATTTATTGGCCTTCTCAGTGCCTCACATCAGAAAGCATGCTGACAGTTTTGTTCTGTTATCAGGGATGTTAAGTTTAAGGCAGTACCTGCCAGATCTCTCCACTGTAAAGGAAGTTTTTCCCTTTTGATCTGTGTGTTAATACTCTAAACCTGTAGGTTTCCTGACAGCCTTTCGCCCAAAGGTTTCTAGCATTTCTGGATCTTTGAATGAGTTATTACAAAGGTATGGGTAAAGAGCGGTTTCCTTCATCTAATGACAAACAGCCAACCAGGCTTTTCCAGATAAAATAACCATTTAAGCTATAGTGAATCTGACAGTTTCCTTGCTTTGTGTTCTTTTCTATGAAAACTTTTCCCCTGCCCCTGTCTTTTTGTTTGTTTCTTTTGGAATGGCCGATTTTCATGGTGATATGACAAGCTCCAAATTTATCAGTCACACCCACCTTCAAAAGAGGAAAATTTCCCGTAACCACACTTGCCATGAAACAGGGCTGCATTTTACTTTCTATTTCACATAACGAGAAATGATTTTTACTTTTCTAAGCAACTGGAAACGTCCAGTGCAACTGGCCCTACAGGTGAACCGAACTACAATATGGCTTTCTTCTCCCCAAATAACTACAAAAGAAAATCCACTTATGTGTATCGTATTTGATGAATGACATAAGTCCATCTTTAAATACCACATCGTTCCACATCTTGAAGGCTGAACAGCTGTTTGTCCTGGTCTAGGAAGAGCCTATGTAACTGGCTATAAAAGAAACATCTTTGTTAACTCTTGTCCTTAATACATAATATGTGAATCCCGATGCAGTAGAATTTTGAATTCTAAAGAGAATGACTATAGATCAAAGTGGAAGGTAATCTAGATTTATTGATTGGTCTTTCTCATAAGGAAATACTGCCTGTTCCCTAGTTACTTTTTTAGTATCACTCTTGATTCGTGGACTCTTGTTTGGTGACCCATCATTGTCATTGTTGTTTGCCATGCTTCAGCTTTTGGATGCCAGCTTTTAAAAAAAAAAATTTTTTTTTTGAGTAAAGTTGATACACAGTGTTACATTAGTTTCAAGTGTAGACATAACGATTCTACACGCTTCTGGGTGGTGCTACGGAGCACCTCCTTTCCGTTCCTCACTTTGCCTGACCCGGCCTGGAATTTCCCTGTGGAGCCCTGCTCCGTTTTTTGGGACTTGTTACAGAGACCAGCTAGTTATTCACATAGAATGTCCCTCCTTAGATTTGTCTGGATTCTTACTTTTTGTTATTCTTTAGCTTATTTCACCTAAACGGGGTGGATTCTAGATCACGGGCGTGATGATTGATTCTGTTTTGCATTGCAACAGAGCCTATGCCATCTGCCTGACCCACTCTTAGTGATGCTGCAGCTACTTCTACTTACTATGCTGGTACTTGAATGTGTTCACTTTTCCTTCATGGGGACCAGAAGGAGCAGAGTAGTATCTTTAAACCTGAATTCTTTTTTTTTTTTTTTAATTTATTTTTTCAACGTTTATTTATTTTTTTTGGGACAGAGAGAGACAGAACATGAACGGGGGAGGGGCAGAGAGAGAGGGAGACACAGAATCGGAAACAGGCTCCAGGCTCTGAGCCATCAGCCCAGAGCCCGACGCGGGGCTCGAACTCACGGACCGCGAGATGGTGACCTGGCTGAAGTCGGACGCTTCACCGACTGCGCCACCCAGGCGCCCCTCTTTAAACCTGAATTCTTAAAGGTCCTTTGAAAGAAGTAGCGTTTGCCTAATGTACTGAGATTTGCAAATACTGATAAGACTTTAGCTCTGTCCTGGAATTGCCTGACATTAAAGAACGTATAAATGGGTTATGTTTTTTAAAATATGTAGGGTTTTGTTGAACTGTAATAATTTTCTCCCTTCTCCCCCACTGCTCTCCTTTTTCTGTTAATAGTTGGACAGAGAGAGTCGGAAGATGTGAGCGAAAGAGACTCAGATAAAGAGATGGCTGCTGGTTCAGTGGTTGTGGGCGACATCACAAAGGATGGGCAGGAGGAAGTGCCTGAAATAATCGAACAGATTCCTTCTTCAGAAAGCAATTTGGAAGAGCTAATACAACCTACTGAGTCCCAGTCTAACGATGTTGGATTTAAGAAGGTGTTTAAGTTTGTCGGCTTTAAATTCACTGTAAAAAAGGATAAGACCGAGAAGGCTGACACGGTCCAACTGCTCACTGTCAAAAAAGACGAAGGTGAAGGAGGAGGGGCCCCGGACGGGGCTGGCGACCACCAGCAGCCCAGCCAGGAGACCGGGGAAGCAACAGCCAAAGAAAGTGAGCTAAAACAATCCACAGAGAAACCCGAAGAAGCCCTCAAACACGAGCAGAGCACCACGGAAATTTCGCTTCAAGCTGAGTCTGGCCAAGCAGCAGAGGAAGGCAGAGACGGAGAAGAAAAGCAAAAGGAGCCCACCAAGTCTCTAGACTCCCCGACGAGTCCCCTGGCCAGCGAGACAGCGTCACCCTTCAAAAAATTCTTCACTCAAGGTTGGGCCGGCTGGAGAAAAAAGACCAGTTTCAGGAAGCCTAAGGAGGATGAGCTGGAAGCTTCAGAGAAGAAAAAGGACCAAGAGCCAGAAAAAGGAGACACACAAGAACAGGAAGAGACCTCTGAGAAAGCGGCTCCTCCTGAACAGCCACAGCCACAGGAGGCCCCCGAGAGCGCCGGCGAGGCCCGACTGTCGGCGGAATATGAAAAAGTGGAGCTGCCCTCCGACGACCAAGGGCAGGAGGCCTCTGAAGAGAAACCCGCCCCTCTAGCGACGGAAATATTCGACGACAAGGTGGAGATCGTCGCAGAAGTCCACGTCGTCAGCACGGCAGAGAAGAAAACCGAGGAGCAGGAAGCCGAGGCGGAGGAAGCGGAAGCCGCGGAGCCCCCGCCACCTGAAACAGCTGTGGAAACCCCGGCTGAACTTGAGAAAGCCAGGCCCGCGGCGGAGCCGGCGAAGGCCACGGAAGCGTGCGCCCCCGGCGGTGACCACAGCCGCCCCGCCGACCCGAGCCCCGAGGAGAAAGCGCCCCCCGCCCACCCCGAGGGCCTCGCGAGCGAGGCGGATGTGCTGTCCTCGCAGGAGAGAACGAGGGCGCAGGGCAGCCCTTTAAAGAAACTCTTCACCAGCACCGGCTTGAAAAAGCTTTCCGGGAAGAAGCAGAAAGGGAAGCGAGGGGGAGGAGACGAGGAGGCCGGGGAGCATCAAGCCGCAGCGGAGTCCCCGGACAGCACCGACGAACAGAAGGGCGAGAGCTCCGCTTCGTCGCCCGAGGAACCGGAGGAGATCACGTGTCTGGAGAGAGGCGTCGCGGACGCACAGCAAGAGGGGGACGCCGAGGAAGGCGCTGTTTCGGACGGGGAGAAGAAGCGAGAAGGGGTCACTCCCTGGGCGTCTTTCAAAAAGATGGTGACGCCCAAGAAGCGTGTCCGAAGGCTTTCGGAGAGTGATAAGGAGGACGAATTGGAGAAAGTAAAGAGCGCCACCCTGTCTTCCACGGAGAGCGCAGCCTCCGAGACGCAAGAGGAAGCAAAAGGCAACGGAGAGGAGCAAAAGCCCGAAGAACCAAAGCGCAGGGTGGATACTTCAGTCTCCTGGGAAGCTTTAATTTGTGTGGGATCGTCCAAGAAAAGGGCAAGGAAAGCATCATCTTCTGACGACGAAGCGGCGCCAAAACCAGCGGGAGGAGAGGGCCAGAAGCCAGACGATGCAGGAAAAGACAAAGAAACGGGACCAGATGCTGCCCTCGCTAGTTCCCAGGAACATGATCAAGGGCCAGGAAGCTCCTCACCCGAGCAAGCTGGGAGCCCCACTGAGGGGGAGGGAGTTTCCACCTGGGAGTCATTTAAAAGATTAGTTACTCCAAGGAAAAAACCCAAGTCAAAACTGGAAGAGAAGAGCGAAGACTCCGTAACTGGGCCTGGCTTAGAACATTCAGTTTCAGATGTCGACCCCGGGAAAGAAGAGTCTTGGGTTTCAATTAAGAAATTTATTCCCGGGCGGAGGAAGAAAAGGTCAGATGGGAAACCGGATCAAGCCACCGTTGAAGACACGGGGCCAACAGAGGTCAACGAAGATGATTCTGATGTCCCAGCTGTGGTACCTCTGTCCGAGTACGATGCAGTAGAAAGGGAGAAAACCGAAGCACAGCAAGCCCAGAAGGGCGAGGAGAAGCCTGAGCAAAAGGTAGCTGTTTCTGTGTCAGAGGAGCTCGGTACAACTCTGGTTCATGCTGTGGCTGTGACTGTTGTTGACGGGGCAAGGGCTCTTAGCAGTGTTGAAGAAAGGTCACCCTCTTGGATATCTGCCTCAGTGACAGAACCTCTTGAACAAACAGAAGAGGAAGCCAGACCCCTAACTGAGGAGGCATTTGAAGGGGAAGTCCTTGCAGAGGAAACCCCCGTTGTTGCCAAAACTCTGCCAGAGGGTCAAGACGCCATTGACAACACAGTCGTCAGCGAGGTGGAGTTGACTTCTGAAGCTGTGACAGCTGCAGAAACTACAGAGGCATTTTGTGCCGAAGAAGCAGCAGAAGCATCTGGTGCTGAAGAGACCACCGACATGGTCTCAGCTGTTTCTCAGTTAACTGACTCTCCAGTCACCACAGAGGAGGCGACGCCAGTTCAGGAGGTGGAAGGCGGTGTGCCAGACATAGAAGACCAAGAGAGGCGAACTCAAGAGGTCCTGCAGGCAGTCGCAGAAAAAGTTAGGGAGGAATCACAGTTGCCCGACACCAGAGGGCCAGAAGACACGATGCAGACAGTGCAGGAAGTAGGGGCCGAAATTCCAGAGAAGGTAGACGCGGAAGAGGGTTCTCAAGAGCCGGATCTGAAGAAAGAGACGGACGTAGTGACGGAAGTACACATAGAAGAAACTGAGACTGAGACCTTGACACGGGAGGAGGTGGTTGTACAGGCCACCCCCGAAAGCTTGGAACAAGTTCCTCAAGTCGCAGACAGTGTAGAGCCTAGTGAGCTTAGAACCACTTGTCCAGCTGAAACCTTGGTTGGGGTAAAATCAGAATTTATTCTAGAACAGGCTGTTGCTCCCGATTCAGCTGAAACCCTTACCGACAGCGAGACCAACGGAAGCACCCCAGTAGCAGATGTTGAGGCTCTAAATGTAACACAGCAAGAGAAGATGACAGACATCCACGAAGATCCCGAGGTCGCCTCTGGGGTACAGTCACAGATCACAGAAGCAGAGGCCGTTCCTGCACCAGAACAGATGCCTCCAGCACCTTCTAGTCTTCAATCCCAGGAAGAAGATACAGGACATTCAAAAATGGAAGAGGTCCGGGAACATACAGATGAAGAGGTAGCAGTGGAAACTGTGCCCGTTCTTTCAAAGACTGAAGTGACGGAAGAGGACGGCCAGTCTACTGACCGGGAAGCCAAAGACACACCGCTTGTTGAAGGCCCTGAGGTGTCTACAGACACTGAAACAACAGTCGGTGAGAAAGAGACCATGGAGGTTGCCCTTGAAGATGAAGTCACCGAAGAACCTGAATTTCAGAAGAATGAGGATACCGAACTCCAGAGCCACACGCCATCTCCTCCAACCCAAGTGGAGGAAGAGCTGGTAGTTGAAGTAGAAAGGGAGAAAGCGGAAGCAAAGCCAACCCCAGCGAGTGAAGAGGAACTTGAGCAAAAACCAGCCGTGACCGTTTCTGAAGAGCTTAGTAAGCAGCTGGTGCAGACGATTAGTGTGGCCGTCCTCGACGGGGAAAAGGAGGTGACCAGTTTGGAAGAAAGTTCTCCTGGGCTGGCTCAGGAGGACGCGGTATACACAGAAACTCCAGCTCAAAGCTCTGAGCCGTCATTACCTCTAACGGCTGCAGCAGTGGAGGAGAAGGTCTTGGGAGAAACCGTCAAGATTTTAGAAACACCTGAAACCCTGGAATCTGCAGATGCACATTTAACACCAGAAGAAAAACCCTCTGCAAAAGATGAGGACTTCACTGCTCAGCCAGGGGAAGACGAGGTGCCCGCAGGGACGGAGTCTCGGCCGGAATCCGTACCGGAGGCCGTATCGGCCACGCCTGAGGGAGGCATCAGTGCTGACCTGGAAGCAGACAAAACCACACCGCAGAAACGGGCCTCAGATGAAGAGGACGAGCCGGCTGGTTGCCAGGAAGCCCAAGTAAGTGAAACTAGCAAGGAAGATTTAAAGGCTGAAAACGAGATTTTGAAACTTGAGACTGAGAGCAGTAAGCTTGTACAAAATGTGATCCAGACCGTTGTTGACCGGTTAGTAAGTACTGAAGAAACAGCCGTTGATTTGCAGACACAGGCTCAACCTATACAAGCTGACACCCAGGAGGCTAGACCGCAAATGGAGGAGAAAGAAAGGGAACTTCAGGCCTCTGCACAGGATGAAACACACACCGTTGCAGCCGAAGAAGAATCCACGCTAACCACCGTGGAACAAACCCACTCTGACGTTTCCAAAGCTGTGAGCGAAGCTTCCGAAGGGATTCCAGCCGCGGAGGTAGAAGGTTCCGGTGTAACCGACCAGCAGCTCGAAGAGGCAGTTCTCCCGTCGGAGGAAAAGAAAGAAACAACTGGAACAAAGTCTATTCCAGAAGATGGCGATCGCGCCGAGTTAGGCGAAAGGATAGAGAAGTCACTGTCTGAATCCCAGGAAGATGAAAAGGATGATGCCGTTGATGACCCTGAGAGCCACCACTCAGCCCTGGAAGATTCTGAGGCCTCAGGAGGCTTAACCAAAGAGTCCCTGGACACAGATGGGCCAGCGCTGAAAGAGGAGGAAGGTGGCCAGGAAGTAGAATTTCAGGAAGGAAAAGCCCACGGTGAGTCAGAAGAAGAGATCGAAACCCAGACACCGGGAGAGACGCAGAAGCAAGAGGAAGAACCAGCAAAATCAGAACCCACAGGATCCTAAAACATCACGTAAGCGAGCTTCCTTTCCTTCCAAAACACTTTTTCCTCTTTCATGCCACTTGATGGCAAATCTATAAGGGAAGCAGGAGTTTAAATAATAACGACTTTATGCAGAACCTTCAGTTGGGGAAAAAGCAGTCAAGTAGATCAGGAGACCTAGCTTCCCTTCCTTTTCCCCCTCACTGACAACCCGTTCAGTCTTACTGGTGTCATGAAAACAGTGACTTCGTTTTACCCCCATGTGACTGCTTTCCGAGAAAATAAACGGGGCACGTGTGCGCGCACAAGTGTGCATTTGCGTGTTTGGCTCAAAGGCATAAGAGATACGTTGCGCTCACAGCACCATACTTACCAGTTCATTGAATTTTTCCTCAAAACTAGAAGCCCAAAGTAAGTTTTCATCCTACAGCTTGAAATTGTAGTTTGTAGCTCTCTGGAAAAAAAACAAAACATTTTTGGCCACCGGTGGTAGTAGCCAAGCATTTAAAAAATCCCCAGTGCGTGTGATGCGCCTGAATGCTGGAGCCACAGCCGCCAGTTTTTGGTGACCCAGCCCGACCTGCCGTGGGCCCCCAACCCACTCGCTTTCTCAGGGGCTGGACTCCGGCGAGTTGGGGCTTCCGCGGCTCGGGAAATGAACGGGGGAGGAGAGGAGACTTGACTCACTTTTGATTCTTCCTTCCTCCCACAGTTCTGCCCCGTGTGTTTGCAACACCAGAATGTGAAGACAGGCAGTAGGAGGAGATGAACGCTGCTGACAAAGACTCACGACCAGTATTTCAGACTCCGAACCGAAGAACAGGCCCATCGACTGACCTCCTCTCTGGAGCACCCTGACAACCCTGAGGCAGCAATCGGGGGCTACAGCCATTTACCGTGTCCTCTGCAGGGCCACCCCTCTTCCCCGCCGCCGATACCATGTAATGTTTCTGATTTAAGGTCCCCAATTCTCCACTCGGAACTGGAGTTGGCCGCACCTAGTTCTGCTTCTCAAACTGGAGTATCATTCCCTGTGTATTTATATGTATGTTTTAAGTAACCCTCCTGTATCTATTGTAAATTTTTTCCTTAACGATTAAGGAAATGTACAATACGGTGCATTCCTTTTGTATCACGCAGGATGTGGTGGAAGCTCTAAGCCTCAGCTGTAACCTGTGACAACAGCTTCCTTAGAAACAACATTCCTGATCAGAAGCTACGGTTCGTACTTCAAAACCCACTGAGGGTCGGGTCCGTGTTTCAGGCCGCTCTGAAATCGCTCACTTTCCTGTTCTGCACAGTGTGCTAAAAATAAAAAGCTTTTTGGGGGGGGGAACACAGAAGGTTCCATTGTTACTGTGAAATTTTTCTTTCTAGCCCAGTGGGGGTTGGAAGGGAGTTTTTTTCAGTAGCGGGTTAACTTTAAGCCTTTTCTCTGAATTGTTGTGGCCGTTTGGACAGATGAGTGCGCTTGAATCCCGAGGCAAAGTAGTGAAGTGTTTTTCATCTTATCAAAAAGTAATCGACTATTTTAAGTTTTCTATTCTACTCTTATACGCTGGACCACATGCACACACAGCATGAAGTAAGGTTCTTTACAGATGGTATTTTGCTAGGTACTGGATTGTGTCTGTGCCATATCTGTGCCCACTCTTTTAAGGACAACGTTGCATTAAGTTCCTTTGGATAAACTGTGATTTGACATCTGATTTAAATAAAATATTTGCTTCACTTAGATTTGCTGGTTTTATTAGCTACCAGGGAGCCTGGGGCATGTTTTCGGAGTTCTAAAAGCAGATGAGGTAGAAGTTTCCAGTGTGGTTACTACGTCATCCTGGTTTGTCACATTATACTGGTTTGACGTAACGTCCAGAGGAACTCATAGCAAAGAGGCATCTGCTAAAACACACCGGGAGTTTCTTCCGACGGACAGCATTGATCCAATGCTACCATCTGGTGGTGTCTTCCTGAAAAGGTCAATTTTCTGTTGCTATTTTTGGTTTTAAACAACGAGAAATGTCTAGAAAGAAACTTCTCTTTTAAGGTTTTTTACAATGTTTATATTTCGGAGACCGAGCGCAAGGAGGGGAGGGGCAGAGAGAGACAGAGACAGAATCTGAAGCGGGTTCCAGAGCCCGATGTGGGGCTCAAGCCCGTGAGCGCGAGATCATGACCTGGGCCGAAGTGGGATGCCTGACTGACTGAGCCACCCGGGTGCTCCTAGAGAGAAATTTTAACAAGGCTTCATAGTAAAAATGCCTCGCCCAACGGGTGATCGTGGACTTTTTTTAATGTCAGTGATTTAGGATTCGTGCTAATACGTAAGGGACTGTCAGACGATTACCACACCACAGTCACCCGTGTCCCGTAAAGTCCCACTTTTTCACGTGTGGAACTGGCCTGGCATACATGCTTCTTAAATTTCACTCAAACCCAGAACCCGTGTTTACAAACTTAAATCGTGACTGCCAGTTAATGATTTTAAAGCATTCTAGACATTCTAGAGAGACCCCTTTTAGCAGAAGGAAAATAGGCTGTTAAAATGAGAAAGTAGTTGATCTTATCAACGAACCTGATTCCCCCCCCCCCCAAAAAAAAAGCCATATTAGACGTTGATAACATGATATGGCATTCTGATAACAATGTATGGTGTTGTAGTTGGGAAATGTTTCATATCCTTTTAGGAGTTATTCTCACATACAATAGTCAACCTTGCTTAATTATTAAACTTTAAAATGCCCAAATTAAAAAAAAACAAACAACCCTCTGATCTAAGTATCTTTTGCTGACTCGAGACTTAAAAAATCCAAGGGCTGCTGTCAATGTTTGAAGGTCAACCAAGAGGTACCGGAGATGAGAGCGCTTGGTAAATGGCTCCTGATAGGTCCAAACATGAGCTTCCTCTCTGTGGCATGCGGTGGTTTTGTGCTGCTTTGAACAGATAAAAGATTCCTGTAGTAAAGTCGTAAACAATTTTTTTTTGGGGGGGGGTTGTAAACCCCATCCTGGCACTCCGTTCTGTGTTTGCTGTTCTCTGACTGCCTGTGGCCAAGTCTCTCTGGTCGCGGCAAGTGGTTTTCCAGTAACAGCTTCACCAGCGCTTTTCATACTCCTATCTGGATGCGCCCCGGATCCCTTCTGTGCGAGCCCTAGGCCCATGTCTGTCAACCAACACTGTGTTAGTAACCAGAGGGATGCTGTTAGCAGCACGAAATACAACTCTGTATGATAATTCTAGAACTGCTGTTACTCTGTGAAGTACAAGATAACCAAATGTAAACTGTGTGCCTATATTTCGCTACTTTGGGCATCACTATGGAGCCATGTACAATAGGAAGCAACGCAAGACTTGTAAACTCTCACCACTGGATACTGAGGAATATAAAATGCTCCCCCCGCCCCCCCCCCCCCAGGTTATTTTGCTAATGGTACACACGAGTTGCCTCTCGCTGTTCACACAGACTTTGTTCCAATATGTTCCTTTGGCCGTTTGGGGCTGCAAATAGTCAAGGGCTGGAGAGTTTAGCTTTCAGTGTAAGCTTCAAGCATAGCAGTTTCCTTTTTTTTTTTTTTTTTTTAATTTTTT